CCCAGGCTGGAGTGCAGTGGCATGATCTCAACTCATTGCAACCTCCGCCTCCCGAATTCAGGTGATTCTCCTGCCTCAGCCTCCCAAGTAGCTGGGATTACAGGCTAGCCCTACAACTGGTTAATTTCTGTTTTTTGTTTGTTTTGTTTTTTAAGTAGATACAGGGTTTCATCGTGTTGGTCAGGCTGGTCTTGAACTCCTGACATCAGGTGATCCACCCACCTCGGCCTCCCAAAGTTCTGGGATTACAGTCATGAGCCACCGCGCCTGGCCTGGGGCTAGAGTGTTTAAGGTTTTGGAGTGAGCTGAAGTGCGGAGGTCATTGCTTGGTGAAAGAGTGCAGGCGGTGAAGTCACAGACAGGAAGAAACTGTATTCTCATGCAGATTCCATTCCTCTGTGGGGTCTCCACACTGGTGGGCTCCAGTGGTTAAGCTGGAATTTGGGATTTCAAAAACATCTTAAGCAATCGTAAACAAAAGTCTTATGATGTTTTGGGGTGTGGAGTATGGGATGTGGGCATGGTCCCTGCCGTGGGCTGGGTCCAGGATCCAAGAAAAAGAACAGGGGAGTGGTGCGTGGATTGGGGTTTGTGATGGGCAGAACCAGCTGGCACTCGTTCTGAATCTGATGCAATTGCTTGTCGAGGCACTGCTAATGTCACATGCAACAAGTGTCTTGTTAAGGGGGGAGGAGACTGTTTTCTCCAGCTCTGTACCTTCCACAGGGGCTCCAGGGGTGCAGGGCACCGGATGATGTCTGAGCTGTGCTGGGACCAGGAGGTGGTCAAGGAGAGGGGTGCCCTCTTAGCCTGCCCTAAACCCATCTGAGCTGTGTGACTCCAGGCCAGCCTCTCACCCTTGCTAGGCCTAGCAACTAGCTTAGGGCACCCTTAAACCCCAGTCTCCCCAGTCTCCCTGATACTTGTACCAGCCTGAGGGGCTGTGATTCTTAGAGGCCTGGTAGTCTGGAATGGGATGGGCTTGGTAATCTTCATTTCTCGGGATTACGCCTGTAATCCCAGAGCTTTGGGAGGCCGAGGTGAGAGCATCGCTTGAGGCCAGACGTTGAGACCAGGCTGGGCAATATAACGAGACCCCCATCTCTAACAGAAAAGGTTAAAACAAAATTAGTTGGATGTGATAGTGCATACCTATAGTCTCGGTTATTCAGGAGGCTGAGGCAGGAGGATCACTTGAACCCAGGAGACTGAGGCTGCACTGAGCCATGAGCACACCATTGCACTCCAACCTGGGAAACAGCAAAGCCATAATTAATAAATAAATAAGTGAAGTAAGTGAGTTTTTGACTGCCAGAAGAAAAGCAGTCCATGGCTGAAATCTCAGACTGTCTAAATATCAGATATACATTAATTCCTTCAAGTATTTACTGAGCATCTATTGTGTGCCAGATGGTGTCAACCTGAGTGTAAGTAGGGAATATGAATGATTGACAACGAAATAAAATAGAGTGCTTCCAATTTTAGGCAGGCTGGAAGAGAGAGGAGGAGCCAGCTTGTGCTGAGATTCAGGAGGAGAAATGCTTCTTTTTTAGAGAGGGAGTCTTCCTCTGTTGCCCAGACTAGAGTGCAGTGGCAAGATCTCAGCTCACTGCAAACTGTGCTGCCTGTGTTCATGCGATTCTCCTGCCTCAACCTCCCGAGTGGCGGATCACAGGCGTCAGCCACCAGGCCCGGCTAATTTTTTGGTATTTTTAGTAGAAGTGGGGGTTTCACCATATTGGCCAGGCTGGTTTTGAACTCCTGATCTCAAGTGATCCGCCCTCATCGGCCTCCCAAAGTGCTGGGATTACAGGCGTGAGCCGCCGTGCCTGGAGGGGAAAAATGCTCTTGGTAGGGGAAATAACTTGTGCAAAGGCGCCGAGGTGGGATCCAGCTTGACCTGTGGGTGACCAGCTTCTCTATCTGTCTTCCCACAGTGCAGCTGGGGTCTGGCGGCCACCTGCACCTGCGCATCCCCCGGGCCGCCCTGCCCGAGGGGCTCCCCGAGGCCTCCACGCTGCACCGGGCTCTGTTCCGGCTGTCCCCGACGGCTTCAAGGTCGTGGGACATGACGCGCCCGCTGCGGCGTCAGCTCAGCCTTGCAAGAGCCCAGGCGTCCGCGCTGCACCTGCGACTGTCACCGCCGCCATCGCCATTGGAGTAGCTGCTGGCAGCGTCTTGGTCCTCACGGCTCCTGTTGGAGCTGCACTTGCGGGCGCCCCCCATTCAAGCAACCTACACAGAGACACTGGAATCCAGGCCCCGACCTCAGCCCTGTGGCCGCCCTTGCCTTCACCGCTAGAGTTTACTATTAAAGCTCAGACCAGCGCAAGCCGCTTCTGAAATGGTAAAACGCAGCCCCGGTCTGGTCGCCTCCTCGGGCTGGTTGGCTGCCTCAGTTTTCCCTTCTGGGGAATGGGTAGGTAACCCCGGTGCCTAGCTGGCTTGGACGGTGAGGAGGAGACCCGGTCGTAGTTAACCCCTTCTGCTACGTCCTGGACATTTTGGGCACCCTCTTTGGCCAGGACGGGACCCTGTGCAAATAAGCGCTTGCCTTGGAAACGGCCCCGCCCCTCGACCCCGCTCCCCCCCGCCTCCCCCCGTCTCTCCCAGAACCGCGGGTCGTTGGGAAGTCCTGGGATAGGGGCTTGAAAGGCTCCCCCCCAGCTCTGGTTTGCGGTCCCCGCACAGGTGCAAGTTCTAGAGGCTCGGTCCTACCTTTTGGGTCCCACTGCCACGCTTTTGCCTCGGCGATCCTGGAAAAGCCACAGCACCCAGGGGCTGCGTCCTGGCGCACCTGGATACCAGGTGCAGCGGACAGCACACTCCGCGGTGCTTCTGGGGTCCCTGGCGTTCCTCTGGCTCTGCACCAGTGACTCAGCAGCGGGAAGAGGAACTGGTATCTGGGTGGAGAGGAGAGGGGAAGAGTGAAGACAGAGACCCGCCCCCTTGCAGGGCCTTAAGGTTCTCACGGGAGGGGGAGTGCGAGGGGGAGGGGCGGTCCAGGGTCTCACTTCCCTCTTGAGAGAGCCCAGTGACTTCATGTCGCCTATTACCACCCCAACTGACTGCCACCTCAACTCGCTTCCAAATCTCAGCTCGGTTGACTCCCAGCTCATGCAGTCATTTATTCATTTAGCAAACATCACCCACACTGGGCCCCCAAGAAGCCTTATCCCTGGCCAGATCCTCAAGGAGCTGTCTTAAGAGAGGGCAGAGCTGGACACAGACACTCCTAGTCCCATACCGTCAAGGAAGGTCCGGAGGGAAGGACAGTGTCCTGGAAGCTTCCTGGAGAAGGAGGCATTACAGTTGGGGTTCAACGCATGAGTAGTTCTCCAAGTTTCCCCAAACCTGTCATTGGCTCTCCAAACTCCTCCAAGCCTCTCCCACTGAGTTCTTGCACAATGGCATCTTTATGCTGGAGGGGACAGTGAGGGGGGTCCCAGGAGCTTGGGAAAATGTAGCTGCCTGGAATAGCACAGTTAGGAGTGGAGAGGATAGAAGGAATTGGTGGTGGGGGAAGGGGTCATGTGGAGCCAACACAGGTGCCTGGGCCGAGGGGCACTGGCTGAAGAACTCCCTCTGCAGTGAGCCTGGTGTCTGGGTGGGCAACATGGGGAGGAGGCTGAGGTCCCAGAAGCAGATGAGGGCCTGAGGCAGACTGGAGGGGTATTCGTGACAAAAGTGAGACTGAGGAAGTGGCTGGGAGATCTCTCCTGAACCTGGTGTCAGGCAGACCAGGTTCCAACCTCCGCCAGTCCCTGACTCACGGTGCCACATTAATTGCGCTGTGCCTCTGTGTCCACAGCTGTCAAATGCACAGCTTCGCTTCTCTGGCTTCTCCAGGACCTGAGGGGCTGGGAGTCTCCTCCCCCACACTTTCCCTCTTCTCAGCCTCTGTCTTTTCCGTCTCCTAACTCTGAGAAATGGTCAAAGGCTTTGAACTGAGACCTTGAAGAAAAAGCCTAAAACACTCTTCGACATGTCGAAAGACACTCATTCCTGCCAAGTGCAGTGGCTCACACCTGACATCCCAGCACTTTGGGAAGCTGAAGTGAGCAGATCACCCGAGTCCAGGAGTTCGAGGCCAGCCTGGTCATCATGGTGAAACCCCATCTCTACCTTAAAAAATACAAAAATTAGCCGGGCGTGGTGGCACACCCCTGTAGTCCCAGCTACTTGGTGGGGGGCTGAGGCAGGAGGTGGAGGCTCCAGTGAACTGAGATCACTCCACTGCATTCCAGCCTGGGGAACAGAAGGAGACCTGTCTAAAAAAGAAAAGAAAAGAAAAGAAAAAAAAAAGCTCATTCCTAATAAGAAAACTGCAAATCACAAACTGTCTTCACCAATCAGATTGGCAAAAATCCAACAGTGCAATGATCTTCCATGCCAGTCGGGCTGTGGGGTGTGTCCCTGGTGCAGCCTTGCTGGAGGCACCATGGCACGGGCCACCGGAATGACAAACTCATGTGCCTGCTGACACAGCAGACCCGCTTCTGGGAATTCCTCCCTGCACATTTGCATGTTTACAGTGTGAACTGAGGAATGAATAAGAAAACGTGGCTCATCCGTACAGGGGGCTATGATTCAGCCACGAAGAAGAAGCAGCCCTGATCCACGCTACGACTGGAATGAAACTAGAGGGCATCGAGTTGAGTGAAAGAAGCTGGTTCCTAGAGGCCACGTGCTGTATGATTTCATTTACATGAAATATCCCAAATAGGCTGGACGCGGTGGCTCACGCCTGTTATCCAAGCACTTTGGGAGGCTGAGGCAGGTGGATCACCTGAGGTCAGGAGTTTGAGACCAGCCTGGCCAACATGGTGAAACCCTGTCTCTACTAAAAATAAAAAAATTAGCCGGCATGGTGGTGGGCACTTGTAATCCCAGCTACTCGGGAGGCTGAGGCAGGAGAATCTCTTGAACCTGGGTGGCTGAGGTTGCAGTGAGCCAGGATTGCACCACTGCACTCCAGCCTGGGTGACAAGAGTGAAACTTCATCTCAAAAAAAAAAAGAAAAAAAAAAAAAAGGAAAAAAATATCCCAAATAGACAAATGCATACAGACCAAAAGCAGATCAGTGGTTGCCAGGAGTCGGGAGAGAGAGAATGGAAAGTAGTTACTGCTAACAGGATGGGGTCTCTGTTTGGGGTGATGGAAACGTTCTGGAATTAGATAGAGGTGATGGTCGCATAACATTATGAATGTGGTGAAACGCCACTGAATTGTGCAATTTAAAATAGCTAGGTTGGCCAGGTGTGGTGGCTCACGCCTGTAATCCCAGCACTCTGGGAGGCGGAGGTGGGAGGATCACTTGAGGTCAGGAGTTTGAGGCCAGCCTGGCCAACATGGTGAAACCCTGTCTCTAC